CTTTTTAAAGTAAACGACAAAACGTGACACTTAGCAGCATTCAAAACAAGTCTGTTTTCACGACACCAGCTGTCAACCCTTACAATGTTGCATTGCAAGCGATGACAATCGTCAATGTTAGAGACTTTACAGAAAAGTTTCATATCGTCAGCATATATAAGAAAATCTACATCGATAACTTCAGAAATATCATTTATGAACATAATAAATAACAGAGGTCCCAAATTTGATCCTTGAGGAACACCGGACATTACAGGGTATTCGCTTGACTTATGTCCATTGCACATAACATATTGTTTCCTATCTAAATCTAGATAACTTATTGAGTAGAATGTTATGGTCTAAACTATCAAATACTTTAGAGAAATCAGTATATATTACATCCGTTTGAAGTTGTCTATCGATTGATTCACAAACATATTGAGTAAGATGTAGCAAGTTAGTAACTGTGGACCTGCCCTTCATGAAACCGTGTTGACTGACGGAGATAGACCTGCTTACATGAACAGTTTGTATCACTATTTCGAATGTTTTAGCGAAATTACTGATAATTGTGATAGCCCGATAGTTTTCTACATAATTCCTCTCACCTTTTTTAAAAACAGGAGTTACCCTAGACAACTTCCAAATAGATGGAAAGTGATTATTTTTCAGAGAGAGATTGAAAATGATCATGAGTGGATATGCTAAAATGGACGCACAATCTCTCACAAAAAATGCAGGTATTTGATCAGGCCCTGCAGTCATTTTTGTCTTAATTTTCTAACGACATCATTAGGTGTATTCAATCCCAGCCCATTGTACAGCATATCCTTCGGAATACCAGTGCAGGTTCTTTTTCTATCAACGTTTAAAGTCGCATGCCCCTTTTTTCAACAGCCTGTCGTTTGAGGAGTATTCTTAGTACTTTTCGTCTGATTGTTTCATGCTGTATATAAAGATGACTGGAAAAACAATATTTTTTTCTTAAAAATGCTTTTTCATGCATTTTTCCTCGATCATCAGTTATTAAAAATGCACAATATACAGGGTGGACCATCCATGTGTGGACGGAATATTACTCATAAGCAAATACATTTTGGAAAAATCTATTTATGGGATGTTATACATGACGTTTGAGCGCACATTTCTAAAATATTGATCATTATACAGGGTGTCCCAATTTCGACCTACATATCAAAGTTGTGATTTTTCAAATGGAGTACCTCAAACTTTATTACATATTGGGATAAACGATTTCTAAAGAAGAAAATTGATATAACATACTATGGGGTTTTGGTAATTAGCTACTAAGATATAGGGTGTTCTGTTTATAAATACCCGCCACCTCGGCAACCCCTCAGTCCGGCAAGGGCTGAATTTTACATAAAAAAAAACTTACGCACCTCAGCTTTTATCTTATTTACTACCTTTGCAAATTTTAATTTTCGCTCATACAGGGTGGTCAAAAACGCAAATTGTAGTTTGATGATGCGATACTTTAGGGAGTTAAGCCGTTCCATAAAAGACGTGCTAATAACCGAAAAAATAGCCGTAAAAACCCTTATGTGTCTCGTATCAAAAAAGGTCATAAAAGATGTAATCCAAACCTGCGCAAATATACAGGGTGATGCATTTGAAATTTTTGAGAAAAAGTACAATTCGCGTTTTTGACCACGCTCTATGAGCAAAAATGAAAAAGTAACAAATAAGATAAAAGCTGAGGTATGTAAGTTTTTTTGATACAAATTTCTGCATTCCAAATTTCAAAATGACGGATTGAGGGGGTGCCGAAGTGGGCGGTTTTTCTGGACAAAACACCTTACATCTCAGTAGCTAATTACCAAAACTCCATAGTATGTTATATCAATCTTCTTCTTTTGAATTGGTTTATAAAATTTGTAATAACATTTGAGGCATTCCGTTTAAAAAATCACAACTTTGATATGTAGGTCAAAATTGTTACACCCTGTATAGTTCTCAATATTTTAGAAATGTGCCCTCAAATGTCATGTATAACATGCCATAAATAGATTTTCCCAAAATGTATTTGTTTATGCGTAATAATCCGTCCACACATGGATGTATATGGTATATGACAAAATCCTAGGTTCGTCTTTCTCATGATTTCGATCGAATTTCAATTGAATGAACAAGTTTTTGGTTGGCCCTTCTAGAATGGATAAATCTACAGGGCGTTACTAAGTGCTGGACCGTAATTACAAGGACGCGCTCCTAAGTCTTGAAGATGCTGATAGAAAACCAGAATTTTCATAAAACTTTGACACCGTATATCTTGGAAACCAAATACATGTATATATAAGTTTGTCTACTTAAATTTAGTACAGGAATGCGGCGTTGTGATTATGACAAATCATTAAGTAATACTTTCGGAATAAGAAAATGGGTTAAAAGAAGGAAAAGAGCAGAAAAACAAGTTTGCGTCTACAGTTCTTGTCGTTGTTAAATACTTGTAAAGGGTGGGCCACCAGTTGTTTTTTTTAAGTCTTATTATTTTAATAGTTGATAAAACTTCCATGCTCAACATATTCACAGATATATTGAAACTTCCGCTGTGAGCAATGGATCGTTTTAATCTTAAACAAAGGTGGCAAATATTGAAAAACCATTTTCAAAGTAAGAAGACTATTTGGTCGGAATGAAGCTCCGTTTTAAAAACGTACATTTAGCTCCTCTTCATATGGTTCCGCTGTATACGAGTATAGTTCCTGAACAAGCCGAACCTGCTACTCGCTTTTTCGCACAGACATGAGTTGGGTCACTGGCTTTCTGAAAATACTCCAGTTAATTCGGCACAAACTGCCGACATTCTAGTACATAGGCATCACTATGTTTTATATCGAAAAACTCAGATCAGATCGTACGTCCATGATGAGCAAGTTGTCATATTGGCAGTGACAATAACAGATGTGGAAGGCGCATACGTTGAAGAGAAAATTGCCAAGGCAGTGAGACAAGACAATAAAACCGTATATCTGTGGCCTTGCACAAACGCAGGTCGGAGCTTTGAAGCCGATTCCATATATGTATGTAAAAGAGAGACAGGTATCCAAAAGCCATCAAAAGAACTATACGAATTTTCTATACACTTTAACTATCTCAGATTAATACACCTGCTAGGGTAGATACTAACTCATCTACAATTGTCGACTACATATTTTTGAAGACAAACAGATTTAAGATCTCTGAAACAGCAATTGAGTCTAAACCAATGCTTTTGGAAAATTGTATGACCGATCGTTATCCTGTTTTGTTCAATGTTGGGTATTTGAATGGAAGCAATTGTATCATTAATAAAAGCAGCTATGAATTTAAGAAAATTGATGAGAAAAGGTTGACAGATTATTTGCAAGTGGTAACTTGGGACAGTGTTTTTTCGGAGAGTGATGTCCAAAAAGCAAGTGATAACTTCTATAATGAATTATATAAAGGCGTAGATCATTCAACGTATTATTTAAAAATAAATAGTAAGGCTAGAAAACGCAAGCCGTAGATGACTGACGGTATTCTTACTTCGATCAAGAAGAGGGATGAGTTGAAACAGAGTTTGTCGAAGTTTAATGATAATTTAATATTGAGACAGTCCAATATCTCCTACAGAAACAGAGTAACTAATCTTATTAAGATCTCTGAAAATCAATATCACACACAAAAATTCATTTTAGCAGGTAATAGCTATACGAAAAGCTGGGAGGTTATTAATGAGGTAACTAATAATGGCAAAATTAAAAAAAAATGACGAATTAAAATCAATTAATCACAATAATCAACAGCTGGACGCTTCCATATAGCCTGTGTTTTTAATAAATATTTTGTAGATATAACAAGTTAGATTGATCAAAATTCAATTCTTGATACATCAGATCTTCATGTCGTCAACATTGCTCACTCTATGTTACTTACTCCAGTAGATAACATAGAGTAACAGCAATAGTTAGTAATCAATATTTAAATCTGGAAGTAAAGACAATATGTTCAATTATAGACCTATTTCAGTTATCAATGTATTTGGGAAGATTTTTGAGAAGTGTTTGAATAGCAGACTTTGTTCTTTTCTTGAGACATATGAGATAGTATCGAACTGTCAATTTGGGTTCGGCAAAAATTGCAATACAGAGCAATCTCTACAAGAACTTATAGGACAAGTGCTTGAAAATTTCCAAGATGGAAATAAGACTGTTGCAGTTTTCCTAGATCTTCAAAAGGCTTTCGATTCAGTATCTTATACAATTTTATTAAAGAAACTAGAAAGTGTTGAAGTGCGTAGTGGAATTGTGAGCTTATTTGAGAACTATTTGGCTGATCGATTACAACAAGTTAAGGTAGGGTCAGATTTGAGCAGCATTCAAAAGATCAAAATAGGTGTGCCTCAGGGGACGGTTTTGGGGCCAACGCTGTTCCTCATATACATAAATGAACTACTTCGATGCAGTTTCAACTGTAAAATGATATCATATGCAGACGATACTGTTTTAGTTTGCACTGGTCATTCATGGGATGACGCAACACGGAATGCCGAGATGTCATTAAATAAAGTCAAACGCTGCTTGGATAACAATTTACTTAAACTTAATATCTCTAAAACTAAGTATGTAACGTTTTCTCCAATCAAAGCAGGCATGCCATTACACCACCGAACATTAATTATAAATGATAGTGCCGACACTGTCGAAAGAGTTGAAGTTATTAGATACTTAGGAACCATTGTTGACAGTATTTTAAAATGGCAGAGACATGCCGAGCCTTTAGCATCGAAACTATGGAGAATTGTTCATAAGCTTTTCATTCTTAGGAATATTTTAAACAGAAAGAATCTTCTCTCAATATACAGGGAGTCCGCAAGGTTGGGGTTATCCTTTTCAGAAACAACTACCCTTGAAATAACAAAGGTAATGTGTAGTGAAACGAGGGCGACCAAGTAAAAAAAAGTAAAGCAACAAGTACTCACTCTCCAGTTGACGAGAAGGGCTAAGTACGTCTCTACTCCAACAGAAAATGAAATCAGCTGATGCGCTACCGAGCAGACGCAGGCGGTGGTGCAGATCACGAACAGAGGTAACACATATGACGGCGTTGCCGTGTTTTCCGTTTTTAGGTAAACGTACTTTATAGGTATTGTTCGAAGTTATCGGCGTTTGATTTAAAAACACAGGTGCGTGCACGACGTAGCCAAGCATCGGTGCAGGCTTTGAGAATGGAGTCCCTCCCCCGAATGAAAGCACCTGCTTGTTCAATTCTGAGACGAAGTTCGTCAACCGTATGCACTTCAGTTTTGAACACCAGGCATTTCATTTCTCGCCAAAGAAAAAATCACATGGTGTTAAGTCTGGAGATCGCGGAGGCCACGCTACGGGTCCATTACGTCCGATCCACCTATTTGGAAATAATTCATTCAAAAACTCACGCACTTCGCGTCTAAAATGGGGCGGTGCACCATCGTGCAGAAACCACATTGATTGTCTTACACTTAATGGCACATCTCCTAACAAGGAAGGCAAAATGTTGCGTAAAAAGTCTAGGTATTGCATCCCGTCCAATCGATTTGGGAGAATAAATGGTCCAATGAGCATACCGTTCACCATGCCAGCCCAAACATTCACCGAAAATGTTTGTTGAAAATGTACCCGACGGACAACGTGCGTCTATTGACCAAAAATGAGTGTTGCGAAAGTTATTCATTACGCGTGAACGTAGATTCGTCTGTCACCAATATGCACTTCAAAAAGTCCGGATTATTGTCATGTTGATGCAACAACCACTCACAAAACTGCACTCTTGCTGGAAAATCGTCAGGTTGAAGGGCTTGTACACGTTGGACGTGAAACGGATACAGCCCCTCTTCACGCAGCATTTGCCACACTTTAGTTTTTGATACTTGCACTTCTCTAGCCACGTCGCTAGTGCTTGTTGAGGGATTCTCGTCTACGCGATTCAGTAGTTCTTCCTCAACTTGCAGCATTCGTGGTTGTCTGGGCCTCCCACTGTGCTCACCTCGAAATTCCTCCAAATGGCCCTTATCCCTGACTCTCTGGACCAGGTACACAAATCTGCGGGACCTTGGATGATGTCGTCTAGGGAAACGATCTGCATACACTCGCGAAGCCTCTGTAGCATTTTGAAGGCATTCGCCATAAATTATCAACATATCAACGAGTTCATTATTGGTGTATGAGTGTGCGATTATTATTTTTTTTTTAAACGCAATCGATTATACGGGTTCGTTTACCTCTACACGCGTGACCGTATCCGTCGGTTGAAGCTTGCATACTGACCTGACACACTGACCGCGACCCAGTTCTGTCGTCGGCTTGAGCCAGTGACCTTGTACCACTCGGTGATGTCGCGGGTCGTGGCTACAGGACGGTATTCAGGACTATTTTTCGTATCCCATGTAGGTCAACTTGCAGATTCGTTTACATTGAAAATGATTTCTTGAATGCTGGAGGTTTATATGTTTTTGCTGCTCTGGAATTTGTAATTTTTTTTATATACATTTGCTCATAATACACTTTATGACCATTAGCCGTGCACTGAATTTGTATATTGTGTGACACACGAAAGCTTATAGCTTAGGTGTCTATTCTTTTGTAGTAAATAATGCTGTTTGTAGTAAATAGTTGAACTATAAAATGTCATGTATAAAATGTCATGTTACAAAAAAAATATAGAAATAAATAAAAAGTAACTTGCCTATAGGATAGAAACCTGAACACAGATGTGAAATATACTTTCATAATTTAGAACTCAGGAAATTTCCAACAGTTTGAGACATATGACCTAATTTGATTTACTTTATAGGTTCCATATGTGTTTAGTTAACGTTTAGTTAAGGTTGGACAGCCGTTAGTTTATGTTAAACAAACTTGCTAACGATAATATTAAGAGGGGATTACAAAGGCAATCTGCTTGACACGATACTTTTTATGATAGAAACAATATATCTTCTCATTTGTTCCAGCACACGGACAGTTCAAGAGACCAAAGGATGGGACGTGTTCCGGGACCCTCCTATCAAGGAGGTCTCCGGCTCTATGGCCAATCAGCGATGCTTGGAGATCACCGTGAAGATCCTCAAGGTTGTAGCGTACCTGGTCACATTCGTCATAGTGCTGGGCTCGGGGGTCATATCGAAGGGAACGTTGCTGTTTATGACCTCACAGCTCAGGCCGGATAGAGTCGTAGCTTATTGTAATAGAGAATTAGGTAAGAGCGGTAGAAATTTCACATCTATTGAATTATGAAAGAATGGTGGTTCCGATGCAGTGATTTTCAAGCCATTTACAAGGGTTCAGCTGCTTCGAAACCGACACTCCATTTTTCAGTATTTTTGAATGAAATTCATATAGTATGTTCAGAAGATAATTGCCCAGGGTGCTATACGAGCACTTTTTAAAATTTCGTTTTTGCGCAAGTTTTATGATGGGTTGAAGTGCGCACTTTTTCAGTTCAACTTCGCGATTTTTTTAAGGAGAATCTAGTGAAAAAAATGACAAAGTGCCTCTATAGCACCCTGTGGGGTTTTGTTTTCAGCACACTATGAAAATTTCATTCAAAAATATCAAAAAATGAAGCGTCAATTTCGAAGCGCGCAAACCTCTACAAACCGTATTTTGGACGAATTTTGTCTACTGTTTCGTGTTGCCAACAAAAGCGTCGCGATCGCTGATATTCCTCGATTTTAAAGCCGTATTGTAATCGCGAAAAATTTCTAAAATGAGATGTTATGTTTTTTTAAGTCATATGACATCTACATCACGATAAACTATATCACTCATCATCAACTTGGAAATTACCGCTTGGATTTTTATGAAATTTCCACACGGGGTTACTAGTATGCCAAAGCTTTGCAGTTTTAGTCCAGTGGCAACGGTGCTATAGGTAAAAAAGAAAAAGTAACAGTTCCTGAAACTCCGTTTTTGACGTTGCAGGGGTTCCTTATCATTGACATAAAAAAATTGTACCGCTTAAAAAGTGGGGGTTGGGGGAAGGTGATTCTAAATGTTGCATCCTTGATATCAGTGAAACACGTTCTATTATTAAGAAGCTTCTGATCCCAGTCATTACAGGAAACTTAAGTAACGAAAATCCGACGAATAATGTGCTCACGATTTGAAAAAATCGGTACCTGCTCTATAGATTTGACACCAAGAGCCAACAGATCTATCTGCAACTGCCGACAGTAGGGAAGAATGAATTCGGATATCACTCCAGTCAAGTATAGGGGAATTTAGCGTGGAAATTTAAAATTATCGATATGTCAAGGAAATATGTTCTTGAGAACGATAATTTGGTAGATTTTATACCTGCATTTTCATTTAATTTCATGACCCGTGAAATGTACCCATTTCGCCGTTACCTTCAACTTGTGTTCTGCAGTTTGTGATGTTTTTCTGGATATAAGCAGGACATAATTGCCTAAGGTGCTACCAGAGCTTTTTACAAAATTTTGTCTTTGCGCAAGAATTATGGTGGGTTGAAATGCTTACTACTTGTGCTCAACTTCTTGATATTTTAAAAAGATCCTAGTGGATAACATCGAAAAAGTGGATCGTTAGCACCCTGCGGACTTTGTTTTTAACAAGGTGCAAGATTTTCATTTGGAAATAATAAAAAATGAAACGTAAGCTGTGAAGTGCAAATCGGTTTTTGGGCGAAATTCGTCTACTGTTTCGTGCTGCCAGTCCAAGCGACGCGACGGTGCGTTCCGACTAAGAAAAGATGTTTTCAAATAATTTGATATCTTCCCTAAAATAAATTCAAGAACTCAAATTCAAATTAGTTTATTCATGTCAATAAACATAATTATGCTTACAAGGGCCATGCAGTACATGGTAACAATTGAACGAGAGTCATAAAAATATCTTATGCCGTCAAAATAAGAGGAAACAGTTAGGTAGTTTTTGCAAAACAATAAACAGGTAGGCTTATACCTGGATTTAATACATTTCTTGTCTACTGTAATAGGTAGATGGAGGGGATGCTGCCAGAAATGGATGTGTGCGGTCAATAAACAAATCACAAGATTGAACTGCAGTGCCCAATGATTTTTGTATTGCCTTACTATAAAACTCTGCTGGATATATGATGGAGTTTACTAGAACTTTACGGCTTGCTATCTGCCTTCTTCTACAAACTTCACCAAATCGAGACGCTGTCAACCTGATCCCCCGATGAAGGTGCCACAAAGCACAGTCCTGTGATTTGGTGACTTGTTCGATCTGCAAAATCTCGTCGTCACTTTTTTTAAGTTTCCCTAAAAATTCCTGCTTAGCAACCTCCAAATCAATGTCGATCCCGCTTAGGGGGCCGCACGTGCTAACGTGATTTTTTGCCAAACTTGTGTCCCCCTCGAAAACAAAATCGACGGGTCTGAGCGCTTTTTAAAAAAAAAACTGCCAGTTGTAGTGGCGTCTGTTTCGTTTTCGATGCGCCACCCTGTATATGTGTATATGTATATATAAAAGCAATATTGATATCAAAAGTGTGGCTAGATCTGTTTAACATAGAATGTTGTTCCTTTCTTTCTACGCCCTGTATAGTTTTTAAAAGTTAAAAGCGTAATCTGTACATATGTATCTTTTACTGCGAATGCCTGTGTTGCTCAATGTTATCATATGTATACTTTTTCTGTCTACCTCATTGATTTTGAAATATGTAGTTACATATTATTTAATAAAAAATTCAATTATTCAGTTATCTGGGAGCTCCCCTCCAGTGGTTAAGTAGAGTAATTGTCAGCTAGACGCCACTATATGTATTTTTTCATTATACTGAATCTTCTTTGAAAATAAAAGACCGGTTATTATTATTATTATAAAGTCCGCCCAAGAAAACTGCTGTAATGCTTGATTACCATAAGCCGTAGGCGATTGTGTATTTCAATTTACCACAAAAACTGATAGCGGAAGCAATGAAAAAAAAACAAATCGATTAAACTATACAAAGTGGTAATCAAACGTTGGAAAAGGCATGCAGATATTCGAGTAGACCACCGCGAATGGGATATTTATTTGCAATTTGTTCCGCTTCTAATGAATTTTGCAAGAATCAGCACAAAAAACTTCATGGAGGTGGAGCATTTATTGCCTGCTGTTTGCGCCAACGTTGTGGATAAATACGCTCATAAACTACGTATACGGGATATTTTCCAGAATTTCACGTCTTCTATTATGAAACATGTTGATATTTTATATAAAAAGGTATGCTAGTCATGCTAATTCCTTCATTATACCGATAGAACAGGGTTACATGTTGCACCATGATATATCATGTCAGCGAACATTTGTCTACTGGTACCTCTGGTATGCAACAACAGGTAAGGTGTCAAAGCATTAATTGTGGAAAATGTTAAAAATATGGTATTTCTCGTAAATTTTGTTTCGACCGAGTATAAACACACCTTGCTACCAAAAACTCGATACTGAGCCTTTGGAAGTTCCCTTTCGTCAGATTATCATACGTTTTAACATGAACTTTATGCGCTATCAATTTCCGGAACAAAATCGGAACCATGTCGCCGACTACTCCAGCGGACAGTGCAGATGATCTAAATATACTAAGTGACATATAAATCCGAATGGTAACAATGTGACATCATTATGTTGAAAGAAGTCTATTGTGACTCTTGCAACATGTGGTCGGGCATTATCTTGTTGGAAAGTTGGATCCGCCAGGGTGTCAAGATAGGGTAAAGGATGGGGTTCTAGAACTTCGTGGATATAACGCTGCGCGTTCATGTTACCTCTGATGAAGATTAAAGGTGACCTGGAACCATAAGCTATAGCACCCCAAACCATAACTCCAACAGTGTGATGAACATGTCTTTCAACAAAAAACTGTGGATTCCTCCTTTCACCAGGTCGCCTTCTAACCCTGGCACGACCATCGTGCATGCCTAAACAAAATCGAGACTCGTCACTAAAGACAATACTGTTCCATTCCTGATCCCAGAGTGACCGTTGTCTGTACCACTCAAGACGATTACGTCGGTGTTCTCGAGTTAAAGGGAGGACCCAGTGTGGCCGGTATGAAAACAAGCCAAAACTTCTCATTCGTCGGTAAACACTTCGCATGCCAATAGGTCTTCCGTGTTTTGCAAACCATTCATTTGCAATGGACCTGGTAGTGGAGAAACGGTCCCTTAAGGCCAATAATCTTAGGCGGCGATCTTCACGGTCTGTTGTTCTACGGCGGCATCCAGTACCCCTTGCTCTTTGCGTACGGCCTTCTCGAAGCCATGCCTGACAACACCTAACCAGTGTCTACACTTCTTTGCACCCTAACTGCAACTGCCCGAAAAGAAAGTCCAGCTTCCCGAAGTCCCACTATACGGCCCCTATCAAACTCACTAAGTTGACGAAATCGTACAGGTCTCCGTACTCTAGGCATCGTAACCGATCGTAAAGGATGTCAAGAACCAAAATCCGCCGTTAGTGAATTAAAAAAAAGCAGTATAAAAACCGGAATGTCCAACTGATAAGGCTGAACATTTTTTCACTTGTTATTTACAGTAAGATAAATACATTCACCAACTTTTATTAAAATAAAACCAATTAAACTGGGTGTTCGGATTTATATGTCACTTATTATAAGTTCACTTCCAGTGTACTGATAGGGAATAGGTACGTCTTTATAACACCGCGCATGAGAGCCGGTGTCCCTCAGGGCTCAGTTCTTGGGCCAACCCTTTATTCACTTTTTTTGCGGCACAAGGTTCCTTAACAAAAAATGCTGGCGCAAGAATGAGAAAACGTAAAATTACAATTTATAAAAATGATATAAGACACTTCTTATTCACACTGTAAAAAAATAAAAACTGCCGATGTAACAGCCCAACTTTGAGGTGCATTTCTTTTCGCAACGCCTATGTTAACACTTACCGATAACAAGATGCTGCTTTTATTCAGCTTAAATTGCTTTTTGCAGCCCATTTCGGCAATTTTCTGGATCTGGAACATAAAAACAGTCTGGAAATCCACATGTTTTCTCAGGAAAATACGAATTTAATTCGAACAGTCAAACAACTTTAAAACTGGCGGCTTAACTCTGATCGACTTGAATCCTACCTACTGACTCGGATGATGTGATGGATCAACAATTGGCACGCTTGCTTCTTTTTTTATAGCGAGGCAGCCGCGCAGGCAGAAGCCTAAATGCGTGGCTGCTATAAGGATGCCCAAGAAATTTTGTTGATCCGATCTTTGAACTGCCTAAGGTTTGTAGAACTGGAAAAAGCTTCCTCTTGTAGATTTTTCTACAATCTCGGCACTGAGGAGCAAAGCAGTCCCGAGACGGTCTGTTAGAAAAGAGTCATCAATCAGTCGGACAGCCCTTCTTAGCCCTAAACAAATAACCTAGCTTCTTCCCAGCAGCTGCCTCTATTGACGAGATGTGTTCCAACCACATCAAGTCCTCGGTGATCTGGACTCTGACCAGTGGAAATGGACGGCTCTTTGGCAGGACTCGGCCATGCATCAAAACCGGATCAGCGCTAGGACTCTTTTTGTTCGTCAAGGTACAGGACTATGTTTTGGAAACATTAAACCGTACAAAACTGTTGCGTTCCCGAGCAGTGACAGCCTCCAGGTCTCTCGTCAGAAAGAGAAGTCGTCGCTACTTTTCTTTTTTTCAGCTCAGCGGCAGAGATCGGCTTGTCACTCTGAACTCCTGCATGTAGAGTGCTGTCATCAGCGAAGCCAATACCGATCCCTGGGAAATACCCGCGCTGACGGTGAAGTCTGTACGGGGTTTGTCCGGAAACTAATAGGACTGAGTCGATTTAAAAAAAATATCGAGCCAATCGTTACAATTCTCTAAAAACTTCCAAAATAGGCTCCTTCTGCGTCGATGCAGCGCTGCCAGCGCGATTTCCAAACATTGAAGGCGTCACGGAAGGCATTCTCCGGAATAGCCTTGAGAGCCGCGGTTCATGCTGCTTGGATCCCCTCTGTCGTCTCAAAATACTTGCCTTTATAATATATAATATCAAATGTCAAACAAGAATCCTGGGAACAATTATACTCTATAAATAATATAGACAAAGCAACGGGACTGTTCATAGAGAAAATAAAAAAACTAATAGATATTAGTACCAATAAAGTAATAATTAGTCACAAAGAGAAAAGCAGAAATTCCTGGATTACCAAAGGATTAATAACATCGGCAATAGAAAAAGAAAGACTATATAATGTAATGAAACTAACGCCAACTACAGAGAATACCGACTGTTACAACCAATATAAAAATAAATTTATAGAGCTTGCAAGGCAAACCAAACGAAAACATTACCTAAATAAATTGAATAATAATTTAAATGATCCTAAGCGGCTTTGGACAACTATTGATGAGATTACTGGGAAAACAAAATTTAAAGAGTGTGTCACTGAGTTAAATACAACATCGGGAACAGTATTAAAAAATACTCAACAGATATGCGATGAATTTGTACAATTCTTTACTGACATAGGCGAAAATTTAGCAAGTAATATACAAGCAAATGTACAAAATACTCAGCCTCCAAAAAGAACTTTGAACTCATTTATTTTGGATAAAGTCGAACAATGTGAAGTATACACCACCGTTATGTCCTTAAAAAATCGGAAAAGTCCTGGGTTCGATGGTATTAAAAGCGAGCATTTAAAAATTATAGCCGAGGACATAACAGAACCACTCACTTACCTAATCAACAAATGCTTTGAATCTGGCATATATCCCTCAATTTTAAAAAAGGTAATATAATACCGATACATAAATCAGGAACAAAAACAGATGTTAACAATTATAGACCAATATCAGTAATATCCAGTGTAGCAAAGGTTTTTGAAAAAGTTTTATCTACTAGAATGATTCGATACCTCACAAAATTCAAAATTTTAAGTGATAATCAATATGGATTTACAGAAGGGAAGGCTACATCGGACGCAATAACTAAAATTGTAAATCAAATATATCAAAATATTGATAACAGAATCCCTTCAATCTGCATTTTTGTTGATTTAAAGAAAGCTTTCGACACAGTTAATCACAAATTATTATTAGAAGCATTGGAGAGAATTGGTTTCAGAGGAAACGCGTACTCACTGATCGAAAGTTATTTGTCAAATCGCCCACAATCTGTGCAGATATCAGGATCATTTAGTAAAGAAATGTATATTAAGTGTGGTGTCCCACAAGGAACTGTCTTAGGTCCGCTGTTATTCAATATATATTTAAATGATATTTTCCAAATTAATTGTGTTAGCAAAATAACTAGTTTTGCAGATGATACTGCAATATTATATGAAGGCACTGACTGGTCTGATCTGAAAAATGTAATTGAAAATGATTTTATCAAAATTATTCGGTGGTTTAACAGTAGAAAATTAAGCATCAACTACTCTAAAACACATTTTTTACCATTTGGATCTTATGCTAGACATCTGCCAAATTACACAAATTTCTCCTTCAATATTAATGATCAAAAAATGCAAATTAATAGAGTGCCCAACATAAAATACCTTGGAGTGGTCTTGGATCCTCACTTACGATGGGACATCCATGTCAATTATATTTTAAAGAAAGTTAGATTTGTATCCTACAAAATTAAATACCTTGGGAATATATTGACAGAAAAATATCCTCGAACATTATACCATGCACTGATTGAGCCTCATCTCACATATGGTATATTAGCATGGGGAGCTGCATGTTCCTCACATATCTATAATTTAGATGTTTTTCAAAAAAGTATTCTAAAAATGATATTTAAAAAACCGAAAATTTATCCCACTGAAAAAGTATATGCAGATGTTCGAATGTATGATATAAGACAGCTTTATTTCTTACACAGTATTACTCACTACCATAAATTTGTAAACACCGACCAAAAAATTAAACATAATCATTATACCAGGTACAAAATTCGTGGCACAGTAGTTCCTCAACCGCATAAATCTATAATGCAGCGATCATATCTCTATTTAGCGTCTAAATTTTATGAAATTATACCTAAATACTTAAAAGATTTACGTTTCGGAAATTGTTTCAAAAGAAATTTAAAGAAATGGCTACATTCTATATCTAGGACTGAAATTCATAAACTCATAAATACGAACATCAACTAAATACATAATCTACTGTAGCTAATTTTTGTCCTTTTTTGTCATTTGCATTCTACAGTTTCAACTTAAATTATTGGTCCATGTACAGGCGATGCCTTCTATTGGGCCTGTTTTGATTTTATATTTATTTACTCATATTGTTTGTTATCTTTGTACATTGAGTAAATAAATATTATTATTATTATTATTATTATTACAAAAATGGATCATCTACGATTTTGAATTGATTCTTTCTATGACTTTTATTTCACTTTCATATGTATCTGCTTAACTATTCTATTTTGTTGCAGGTAGAGATAAACAATTTATAGTGAAGCTTCCAACGCCAGAACGCGTGGCGTGGATGTGGTGTATATTTTTCGCGTTCAGCATACCATGGCTTGGAGCTTTGTTCCGGTCGACCAGGATGTGCTATTTCAAGTCATCGAAGAGACCGCCGTTTTCACATTTCCTCACTATCTTCCTTGCGGAAACGGGTCACACGATCGGATTGGCTATTTTCGTATTTCACATCCTGCCTGATATGGACGTCGTCAAAGGAGCCATGCTGACTAACTGCCTATGCTTTGTACCTGCTGTCTTAGGTGAGTGAAACTTCCAGAGTGCCGTTAATGAGTGTAAATAAAAGTTTTAAAGGTGAAGCGTGTTTTAAAAACGATTATGAGAACCGCCTTCACACACGCATGAGGTTAGTGCGTACTACAGTATATTCAGATAAGAGATAGACCGGACATAAACAAGACCACGTGATCATCGAACGCTGTAACATTCGGCAGGGACGTATTGAGAGTCACGCAGTACATATTTTAGATAGTAGATGCTGCTTTGCGTAACTTTGTAGTAAATTAGCACAATTCGATGTGTACACGATTGGTGATGGATATAGGATCATGTGGGGGTGGGGTAAGAAATACATAATGATGTAAATATACATAAGGGTTTCAAAATTTTCGCTTCGATTTCCTGCTTCGGATGCCGCCTGATGTTTGGTGAAATACAGTCGAATATAATCTCAAAATGGCGTTTAAATTAGCCTAAATTAAAAATAATCGTATATCTCTTAAAATTGCTTTTAGAATATTGATTAGTATATTTTTTGATTTCTAGGTAAATATGTAACCAAATTAAAACGTTCAAAACGTAAAAAAATGTGCATGGTTGAACATTGTCAGAAAGTAGATTCTTGAATAGGTTTTGCCAAAATGGGTTCAAAAATTTCAATAATTAATTAAAAAATACAGTAGCTTTATAATTACTTATAACTTACCGAATTTGATGAACGACATCTTTTATTGGAAAGATGAGCTTGATGAGCTTTCATCATCGCTACTGCCTAAAGCACCAACGTCAATAATGAATGGCTCGACTTGTTCCTCTAAAATATTGTCCAGTTCCCACATTCTCTTTTCAACTTTGTCTTTCACGTGCTTAATACAGTTTTCCCATTTTTGCGCTGTTATTAATTCTAGTGCTTCTTTGAAAAGTCCTTTGAGGTCACAAAATTTAAAAGTTGAATTGTGCTTAGCTATATAATTTTTAACCTCTGCCCATATGAGCTCAATGGGATTGAGCTCGCAATGGTATGGAGGTAAACGGAGCACAGTTTTATTTTGACTTGCTGCCATTTCGTCAATGGCGTATTTTTGATATTCCGCCTTGTGATCCTTGACAATTCTTAATAATTGTACTTTCAGCATTGCTTCTTCAAAGTTGATATTTTTCGAGCGGAGAAAATTTTGAACATCAACTTTCCTTGAAGCCGTTGTGGGACCTTCTCCATTCTTCGAGAATGATAAGGCGCATTATCCAACACAATTACTGCGTTTTCCTCTAAGTTCGGTAAAATTTTTGAAAACCACTGTTCAAACGATTCGCCATTCATTTCTTCGTGGTAATCTCCAGTTTTCTTAGACTCAAAGCACCACAGACCGTCAACAACAAATCCATCCCCACTGCCAATATGGCAGATAATGAGCCTTTTCCCTTTAGCTGGAAATCGAAGTACTAACTGGTGTAGATTTATTTCAATAAGCGAACCTTTTTCAAATGTTTTCATCACATTCAGCGAAAAAACATTGAGACATGAGTATCAGATTGCTATAATTGGGATTATTTAGTCATATTGAAAGAAAGAATATTGAACGTCGTATGATTACTCAGCGCTTCACAATTTAATTTAAAGTTATAAACCTTTAAAAAATGAATGATCAGGAACCTGAAATACGCGCAAATATTAATATTAACAAATTATAACTTTATAAAGCTTAAAGTATGAATTAAAATGATTAGAAATATTAGGAACGGTACACAATATAAAACTTAGTAACTTTTTTTAAGTTTATAATATTCGATATATTTTATGATTATATTAAAAAATTATTGAAATATCGAAAACACATAAAAACATGGCTTAAAAAAGTTCTAACAAATGAAAATGACAATAAAACATCCACGCACTTTATCGAAAGTTATAAAAGTTTTGTTACTTGTAATATGTTTTATCTGCCCCCTGGAATTAATGTTTAGAACCTTGTTCCCAAGGTTTGAAAAACATCCGATTGTTGTCTATTACTCGTATTTACCTGCTGGATTTTTTAATCCGGTGGACAGTCCATCTAGAAAGGCCCTCCTGGATGAAGTTACAGAATCATCAACCCATACTTTACTTGTAGTGTGTCCTGCGTTTACCCACGTTTCATCAAGGTAATAACTCTTCCTGTTTTGATTTCTATATTTCCCAATTTTTGTTAAATAATCCCTCCTCCATAGCACAATTTCTTCTCTATCCAGTAGTAAACTATTACGACCCCGTTTTTTCCATTTAAAATTTAAATGCTTCAGTAACGCATGGAAAGTTGATCGTTTGAAATTTGGCAACGTTGTATCTCCATTTACCTCCTGCAGTACTTTATCTATAGTAGGTATTTCATTCCTAAAAAAGAATTCATGCACTTTCCTCCTAATCGCATGCTTATCAGCTTCATCCAATGATTTAACAATACTTTTGCGATGTTTACTGGTCATTGGCTCAGAAAAGGTGTGATTTTTTTGTATTGTCTTAACACATTAAACACTGATGCGCGACACACCCCAACTTTCTGAGAAACCTTCACAACAATTTCTTTTATGGTTGATGCCTCGTTCTCCTCGCGCTCGATCTTATATATATTCAAAATGACCTCTTTCATTTCTGCACTCAGGTGTCTTTTTTTAGAGCGTTTTCTAGGTGGACTACAGGAGTTTACAACTTCATCGGCAGTATCTGTACTACTGGGCATTTTGCGCAAGCAGTTGATAACAATAACAATCAATAACAAGGTATAACAATAACAACGACAAACTCAGCAACTTAATAAGATAACAAACGAAAACGTCCAAAGAAATATCAAATTGCAATGATGCACACGACATACGTAACACGTCTGAACCTGAATGTGACTCTGCCTTGATACGACTGCTCTGCCGCTCGGCATAGGCATTTAATTGCGAATTGACCAATGAGGGCTCCTGTTTTACGTCGAGACGGCGGCGTTAGCGTGAAAATCACCCGAACCTTTTGTTTACATCCGGTCTATCTCTTATCTGAATATACTGTACATTTATTGTTCGAATATTAAAATTCCGAGTTGTTGCTCCTTGGGAAATTTTTTCCCCACATAATCAGGTTTAACTGATGCGCATAGCAATGCACATAGTGAGTAAATGGATATCTTTGTTCAATTTTTGCCTGTACTCCCGCATTATGTCCGCTCATTACCGCGACTCCATCTTAACTTTGTGGGATCAGTTTGTTAGGGAAATTTCCTATTAATGGATCTACGACGCTCAAAATATGTCTTGTGAGAGTATCAGAGTCACATTTTTCGGGATTCATATGATTCCAAAAACGTTCTACTGGTTCGCAGATAAATACGTCTCTGAAAATGTTTCATCTGCTATTATCGCCAAATAGGGCTCTGTTAATCTGTTTTATTATTTCACACAATAAAATCTCAGTTAGATGATTCCACCCGGTAGCGATGATGATGAACGCAGTTCGTACAAGCAGACACTGATTTATTTTTTGTTTGTCCTTGCAGGTTTATTATCGAGGAACAATAAGGAATCGCAGCGGTTCATCAAAGTGATCATCGATCTCATTGCGGTCTCTGCGCAGGCGACGGGATTCGTGGTATGGCCCATCGTCGAAGGACGGGCCGATCTGTGGATCATTCCCGTTTCGATATTCTTAATATCATTAGGTAAGAATTTCTCTATCATTAATCATACTATGCTTGACAGTGCTGATAAGCAATTCTGTACCAACACCTATAACATGGTTCAAACCTGATATAGCAGATTCTCATGACTCCATTACAGAGCATTTTATTGAAAATAACTGTGTCTCATTGTTGCTGTACAAAATTTTGCTTGAAAAATTCTTTGGACACATACAGGGTGGCGCATCGAAAACGAAACAGATGCATTTACTGGCAGCTCACCAAAAAAACACTGAGCTGCCAGTAAATGCGTCTGTTTCGTTTTCGATGCGCCACCCTGTATATAAAATTACAGAATGCTTATTCTTTAACAAACATCGAGTAGATAATCAATTTACTAGACTACCGCCCGAAACATCTACTCCTCAAGCGAGCCGTGTTACTGTTAACAGAAAGACTTCGCGCACTCTACTGGACGAAAGGACGACTACGCGACCACGCCGCGCCACGGTGGCGGCGTCAAGGCTCGAAGTAGTCGTCCTACTGCCCAGTAGATGGCGCGATAGCACCTTGTTAACAGGGCTAGCTCAAGGAACAGGGTTTTTTGCGCGGTAGTCAAGTAAATTGGATAGTGACTCGATGTTTGTTAAAGATTAAGCATTCTGTAATTCTGCTTATGTCGTCAACGAATTTATCAGGCAGAATTTTGTACAACAACAGTGTCACGGTTACTTACAATAAAATGATCATTTAATCGCCGTCATATCAACCTAGATATTGTATCAGGTTTGTATTCATGCATCGAGTATGGGCTAAATGCTTTTTATAATCATGGCAGGATGCAAATGGAAAATATGTATAGGCTTTTATCGCGAAGCCAAGTGATTTCGTTTGAGATACATTTTACAAGAAATCGACCATATTCATTGATTCAGAAGTCCAATGTCGCTTACGTCAAGGTCAAGTATGATTGAACCTAGGGTTATTTGTTATGCATTTACGTTCTCTTTGATTTCAGGTTGGTGGGAGAACTACATATCGAAATACTCTCCAATTCCTCTGATAAAGAGGTTAGGAAAAATCAAAGATCACTTCGACCAAACGAGATATTTCACCTACATGTTCATCTCGACGTGGAAGATAATCTGCTTCTTCGTCACCATTCTCTTCATCATCCTCGCTAGAGAGGGTGAAGTTGGGTTTTTCTTCACCGAGTTCTCCGTCGGTTTCAACACTCATCCCATCACTATTTTAGAGGTAAGTTTGAAGATCACCAGTCCAAATCCAAAACCTTTATTTCCATACACACAATTTACAATTTTATTGGAATTGTCAATTACTACAAAAATATGCCAATCTCTACACCTCTACAGGGTGATTCACAACTGCACGGAAACAACAGCAATTATTGATTAAATAGAATTCCCTGTATATTTTAGCATATTTTGAAAGGTCCTTCTAAAGAAAGAAGTTTCATAAAGCACACTGTAGGAGTTGATCGCTACTTTTGGGGGTACGCAATACTTTGTCTAAATGAAAAAGCACCCAACTTTGACAGGTTTTGCAGACGTAGTAGCAAGCTCCAGATTTTCATCAAAAAAAATTCCCTCTCCATCTTCGTTTCCTCAGGTTACACCCGTATGCGGATGTATGGGCATGTGTATCTACTTTTGTAGTTGCAAATGTGCATTCATTTCGGGCCTGATGAAGCCAACCAGCAGAAATACGTATCGCTCGGGTTACCTATCCTATTTTCTGCTCGAATCCTCTTTCCTTCTTTTTGCGGATTTTGCCCATTATTTTCCTGTTATATATATATATACGGCGTTGATTTGTCTTTTTTATAAGCTTCATCAAAATTATATCAAAGGTTGAATTATTGAATTTAGACTACAAGTGAAAATAAAAGAATTTAGTGGATGAGTGGTAATTTCAATGGAGTGTATTTTTTTCTTGAGGTATTTAGTTATACAGTGCTCTTCTTTAATGCCCCCCTTCCCTTTGATTTTTTGAACGGTTGGCGCCATCTTGAAAAAAAAATTATATGAAAACGGGGGTCTTGTGGCATATCATTTTGAAGCTCCTGTCGAGTACTTTATAACCCTAGAATATAAAGTCTATACCTTTACCTACAACAAAGTGGTGGTACATTTAATGCCCAGCGGCCATCTTGAAATTTTCATCTGCCAATTTTACTCTAAAATATGGTATCCGCGCATCAATTTCATTGCTTCAAGTATTTTTTGAATAGATCTGAACCCTTCAGTATGTTATATATAAATGCTTCGTTTGGAACCTATGATAAAATATTTTTAGGGCAGGAGCATACTGTTGGCTACAATTTTTGTGATTAGAGTTATTTACCGAACCCACACTAAAAACTCATCATGCAGTTCTTGTGTAGAGTTGACATCTTTAATGAAATGACGTGTACGAAGTCAACCTACCTGACAACACTCCTTCGTTTCAGATAAAACCGTTCCTTGGAGGTACAACGCTTCCAGACGTAGCCGAAATCATCCCAACCGGAGACGACACGGTCATCAACTCCAGCGACAACTCCCCCATCTTCGTCCTCACCATCAACGTTCTAGCTTCATACTTCGCTTACATCTTCGGAAAGTTCGCGTGCAAAATCATGATCCAAGGTTTCTCGTACGCTTTTCCAGTCAACCTAACCATTCCAGTCACCATATCCTTGCTAATCACCGCTTGCGGTCTCAGGAACGGCGACCCTTGCTTCTTCCATGAGACTGTACCTGATTATTTGTTCTTCGAATCGCCGCCAACTTCGTTTTTGAACGATTTTATTTCACATCAACATGCCTGGATTTGGTTGCTATGGTTACTGTCCCAGACGTGGATCACCATTCACATATGGACACCGAAATGCGAGAGATTGGCCAGGACTGAAAAGTTGCAGGTTACGCCCATGTATGAAGGGCTGCTGATAGACCAAAGCTTAGGGCTGAATAGAAAAAGAGACGACGAGGCTGATGTAAGTGCAAAAGTTACCCAAATTCGTGCATGATACATAATATAGTACATAGTTTCAACATGAGATAACCCTTACCTTACAACATACAGGGTTTTGGGGTAACTTGGACCTTCATGATACCTAATTACACACAGGATTTGTGACATGACAATTTTTGGGTGTATCTTATGTATTTTGGGACGCTTAAATCAAATCTAAAAACAGAATTTTTCTATCACCCACAGAACTTCTACTTTTATCGGCGTTTATGCGATGACGCACTTATATAATGTTAAGACCTGTCTATTCCTGTTTACTATATGCGAGATCTATGTTTACAGAGCATCTTGCCTTTATTAGTAGACTAATAGCAGCCGAGTCAGTTACGTTTTCTGTGTTGAAGGGTACTGAGATGTATTAAGTACTGTTAATTTTTGTTAAAACTGTGTATTGTTTTTAATTTATTGTGATTGACTCTAGCTTTATGGACAATGCCTAGAAATTGTGTAAATAGTGCGAACAGTTTATGTTATGTGTGCGGAGAGCGAACTTTTAAATCCCAAAAACGTACTTTTACTCCCCTTGTGTTGAAAGCATACGAACTTTATTTTGGAATTAAAGTTGGCGAGCAAGATAAACTATGCTGCCCTCATATATGTTGTAAGGCTTGTGTAGCATTTTGAGAGGACAGAGGGGATCCAAGTAGCATGCACCGCGGTTCTCAAGGCTATTCCGGAGAATGCCTTCCGTGACGCCTTCAATGCTTGGAAATCGCGCTGGCAGCGCTGCATCGACGCAGAAGGAGCCTAATTTGAAAGTGTTTAAAGAATTGCAACGATTGGCTCAATAATTTTTTTAAATCGACTCAGTCCTATTACTTTCCGGACAGACCCTGTATCCTTATATTTTACGAGTATAAGCAGCAAATAAAATGCCTTATTGCAAGAAAACCGTGGGTGATAGAAAAAATCGAATGCTATTTCCGGCTTTTGGGTACGTTTTACATAATAACCACCTTGTTTTGTCCATGTCACAAAAATTATTTTAATTTTATTTATATACCAGTGTTATTAATATACGGGAAGAAGGATGGCTGACTTTTATTATTTATTCGAAACACGCGTTTTCTTTAGGTAAAACCAGAAGACCTGGACGAAATCCAAAAAGAAAAAGCTGACGAATATTACGAAACAATCTCAAATCACACGGATGGCTCCTCTCCGAAAACAGTGAAGAATTCGGACCACATCACCAGGATTTACGCTTGCGCCACCATGTGGCACGAAAACCGAGAAGAAATGATAGAATTCTTGAAGTCGATTCTGAGGTTGGATGAGGACCAGAGTGCCAGAAGGGTAGCGCAGAAGTATCTGAGGGTTGTGGATCCTGATTACTATGAGTTTGAAAGTAAGGGATGAATCAAATTTTTAACCATCTGTATAGTCTCGTCTCCGGTTGCATGGTTTCACTCTACAGATAACTAACATTGTGTAGAGTTTTTGATGTATCAGAAAGCTTTCTTTGTTATATGATAGTCAGGCAAAGGCTAAAGCGCAATGCATCCACATAGTGGATCACATCAGGTATTAGTGCATATATTCCTTCTATGAGTGAATCGATGACTTGTTTTTAATGGGCTGAAAATAGAAAAGGATATTGGAAAAAATGATTATGTGGTGCTTTTTTGAATAAGGCCAATTTCAAATTCATACGACAACGCTGTTTTTTTCTCAGTTGACTACTTCACTCTACAGCTAGATAGCAAGGATTCAGTTTTTTCAAAAGCTCCTTCAAAACACCAGGGTCATGGTCCAATGTATGGAATTGAAAATATCATTCTCTTTCGCTTTTTCAAAACAAATAGGGGAACTCTGTCCGGTCCATAAGACAGCTTCCAGGGGGATTTTATCACAGTATCTATGATTTGCTGACTGGTACACTGACATGGCATTACATCGGTACTGTTCCTTTCATATGTTTTATTTGGAACTTGATTTAACTTGCTTATTTAGAAATATTGAGAAATATTCAGATAAAAGATTAATTATACTAAGTGACATCCGAACACCCAGTTTAAATGGTTTTATTTTAATAAAAGTTGGTGAATGTATTCATCTTACTGTAAATAACAAGTGAAAAAATGTTCAGCCTTATCAGTTGGACATTCCGGTTTTTATACCGCTTTTTTTTAATTCACTAACGCTCTAAAAATGAATATTTCAGCCGCAGTAAAGAATCAACGTTGGCGGATTTTGGTTCTTGACATCCTTTACGATCGGTTACGATGCCTAGAGTACGGAGACCTGTACGATTTCGTCAACTTAGTGAGTTTGATAGGGGCCGTATAGTGGGACTTCGGGAAGCTGGACTTTCTTTTCGGGCATTTGCAGTTAGAGTGCAAAGAAGTGTAGACACTGTGGTTAGGTGTTGTTAGGCATGGCTTCGAGAAGGCCGTACGCAAAGAGCAAGGGGCACTGGACGCCGCCGTAGAACAACAGACCGTGAAGATCGCCGCCTAAGATTATTGCCCTTAAGGGACCGTTTCTCCACTACCAGGTCCATTGCAAATGAATGGTTTGCAGAACACGGAAGACCTATTGGCATGCGAAGTGTTTACCGACGAATGAGAAGTTTTGGCTTGTTTTCATACCTTCCACACTGGGTCCTCCCTTTAACTCGAGAACACCGACGTAATCGCCTTGAGTGGTGCAGACAACGGTCACTCTGGGATCAGGAATGGAACAGTATTGTCTTTAGTGACGAGTCTTGATTTTGTTTAGGCATGCACGATGGTCGTGCCAGAGTTAGAAGGCGACGTGGTGAAAGGAGGAATCCACAGTTTTTTGTTGAAAGATATGTTCATCCCACTGTTGGAGTTAAGGTTTGGGGTGCTATAGCTTATGGTTCCAGGTCACCTTTAATCTTCATCAGAGGTAACATGAACATGCAGCGTTATATTCACGAAGTTCTAGAACCCCATCTTTTACCCTATCTTGACACCCCCTGGCAGATCCAACTTTCCAACAAGATAATGCCCGACCACATGTTGCAAGAGTCACAATAGACTTCTTTCAACATAATGATGTCACATTGTTACCATGGCCACCAAGATCTCCCGACTTATCCCCAACTGAGCACGTGTGGCATATGATGGGTAGGAGATTGCTCAATTTGCAACGTCCTCCTCAGACTCTAGAAGCATTTCGAGAGGAGTTGGTGGTTGCCTGGAAGAGATACCACAGGAGGACATTGACCACCTGATCAGAAGCATGTCTAGGCGCGCTGGAGAATGCGTAGCACATCAGGGTGCATCCACACATTATTAAAGGCCAAAGGGCTTTAAAGCAGTGCAATCATTTTGAAATTTTTATCATTTACTTATTATGCTTCATTAAGTACTTATACAATTTTTTTTTAAAATAAAACCATTTAAACTGGGTGTTCGTATTTATATGTCACTTAGTATATATCGTCGCTACTGTAGCTAATTTGATTGATATATATCATAGTAGATAGAATGTGTAAGAGTTGTTCTCTTTTTTGACATATTTCCTGAAATATGCTGTACAATTACTATTTTCAGTATAAATTTTACGCTCATTGAAGGCCGAGGTCTGAGTACTGTTGCCACAATATGGCAAATTTATAATATTGAGGCATACATTCTTAACCTCCTTTCTCAATTATAGCCCACATCTTTTTCGACGACGCCTTCGAAATCTCCGACCACAACGATGACGACACCCAAGTGAACAGATTCGTGAAGCTGCTGATCGCCACCATCGACGAAGCGGCATCTGACGTCCATCAGACTCATATCAGGATCAAACCACCCAAGAAAATTCCTACCCCATACGGCGGAAGACTGATCTGGACCCTTCCCGGGAAGACGAAGATGATCGCCCATCTTAAGGATAAGATGAAGATCAGGCACAGGAAACGATGGTCGCAAGTGATGTACATGTACTACCTCCTTGGGCACAGGCTGATGGAGTTGCCCATTTCGGTTGACAGGAAGGCTACCATCGCTGAGAACACCTACTTGCTTACTCTGGATGGAGATATCGATTTCCAGCCTTCTGCTGTGCTGCTGCTCATTGATTTGATGAAGAAAAATAGGAATTTAGGTATTATGCATATTTCACTTATCATGCATGTCTACGTGCATTTACCATTAAAAACTTAGAAATATCTCCAACAGTAGCGTGTCAATGCATGCGACGTGGTTCCCCGATGGACGAGCGTCGTACCTCACAGTCTTCAATGTGTTCCGGGAGAGAAACAAATTCGTTCGATTTTTCGATATACATGTTCGTCGCTAACCTTTTTCTCGGAAGAGCTAACTTGTGTGAACTCACTTAACGTATTTTTGTTCGTTATAGGAGCTGCATGTGGCCGTATTCACCCAGTTGGTTCGGGCCCAATGGTCTGGTACCAGCTGTTCGAATACGCTATTGGCCATTGGTTGCAAAAAGCTACTGAACACGTTATTGGCTGTGTACTCTGTAGTCCCGGATGTTTTTCACTGTTTAGAGGCAAATCTCTTATGGACGACAATGTTATGAAGAAATATACTACATGGTAAGCTCATGAAAATAATAAGTGGCGATGGCGTTATCTAAAATATTTAATAATTGCATGTGTCTAGCTGATAAGCAATAATAATAATATATGAAGCTTAGAATAAAGTCATGGTACAGGGGTTAATTACCCCCCCCCCCCAAGCGACTCGAGCAGTCTCTGAAAAGGTGGTATAAAGTAAATGTCTTATAAAAAATATGTACAATCAAAAACAATTGACAAACAATACGCTGTCAAACTCATAAGAAATATTATTTCAGTTGTACCAGAAAGACGCGTAAATTCCGAAAAACACTTTATCTATGATGAAATCACGTGAAACCCTGGGTATTGAACTGACTGTGCCAAGAATAACAAGCAGGCAAATGAACAGACCGAACATAGTTACGTTTGACAAGGAAAATCATTACAGACTGAACCTATATGACCCTTTGTTAGATACTATATTGCAAAATTTGGTATACGGGTTCAATGAAGAATCTTTGAATATATACAATTTTAATATTTTCTTTGCGTCAGTATTTAATTCAAAAACTGAAGCTGAATTAATGGACATATTAGAAACAATCTCTAAATATTTGCATGGACTAAATAGTAACGAAAACAAAAATTTAATAAGTACCAGATTAAAAGCATAATTTGACCATTGTAAGTCACGTCACAAGATATTATAGACAGTGGAATGTCACTGTATTGATCATGTGATGAAAACATTTTTTCTTCAATTAGTGGATGCCTACAATTATTGATTTGATTGCCGGTCCGGTAAGTATTGCGACATCGGAAAGAGGTTTCTGCCATCTAAAGAGGATAAAAACTTGGCTGCGCTCCACTATGTTACAAGAGCGATTAGTGGGTTTAGCTCTTTTTTATATGCATAGAGATATTGAATACAATGATAGATCGGGTCGCCAGCAATTAGAATAGGCGCCTTGATTTTTTAATATGATAGCACCAGAACTTTGTCTAAGGTTGTCTCTCAAATCCATCCATGTATTTTTTGTTGTTTTGTCTGACATTGTTATGCAGAAAACTCCGTGACACATTATATTATTTTGCATTTTTGTATTAATATATGAAGATTGATCGAGTTTGGTTTGTTTGTGTCTGCATATGTCCATGCTTTTAATGTTAAATCATCATAACACTTCAGTACGTCACACTGAGAATTTACTTTCCATTTTACCCCTCCCCTCGCCCCTCCCAGACTGAAATCCTGGGAGCGCCACTAGTCCAGAGTAAGCATATTAATTTTTTAAAATATGCGTGATAGTTTTGATGCTTGGCAAGCGTGAGGATTTAGGCCTAAATTTAAGCCTTTAATACCGAAATAAAAGTAATGTAAGACTGCTTATTGCTATAATCGTCCATTTCTCTTGACCAGAAAATCCAAGATCGGCTAGAACATCTATAATTAGAAGTTTCAGAAGCTGGAAACCTTGAACTTGTCCGCAATCTTTGCACACATCAATTTCAAGATTCATCTTTACCACTTCAGAGGTTTGATATCTACTCGTACATAGATGAGAAAGGAGTAAAATTTCATACCCCGATAAGACGTTGGCCCTTTTTCCGGCATTCTTCATATATACGTTACCTAATGTAAAGAGCAGTAATCAATTATACAATAAGCATGTTTTTTCCTACTTTATCTTTGGAATCAAAAACCTTTCCGATCTTCGAACGTATACAAGGTGTTTCAGTTTATTGTTGCATAACTTTAAGATTCGACAGAACTTTTAAAATTAATGCATAAAGTCTATATAAACATGAGTCGAAAAATGCGTGGCTTCCGAAATACAGGGTGTTTAAATTTACTTTCTAAAATAGTTTTTTTTAACTATTTCGAACAATATTTGATGTATAACAGTGAAAATTGGTATACAAGGGCTTTTTGGTACGACAAAACGAACCACGGGCATAGTTTTACTGTAAAGCCGCTAGGGGGCGCTCTCTACTGTACCTGTAGTGTATTAAAATGACCGACAATTTTTTCTTAGTGCAATTTTTTCCTTTTTGAATAAAAAAACTGATTCTTCGCACTTTTCAAGACAGAAAAGCTCTCATGTGAATTTTCGTTATAGTTAGCCGTTTTTGAGATATTTCGATTTTTAAGGTTCGATGAATTTGTAATTATTTATGATAAAATAACGTTAAAAAGTCAGTATCTCGATAATTTTTAGAAGTAGGCTGTGCCTGCAAATATTTTTGAAATTGAAAGCTGAATAAGGTTAAACGTCAATTAGTTGACAGTTAGTTTTGTTGTCTGTAGAAACCTGAAACGCTTTTTTGCAATTGTGAATGCACGAAATTTAGTTTCTTTTACCTGTTTTTTTTTGTACGTTTTATAAAAATGAGATTTTTATTCTCCAATCAAGAGTTAGCGGATATTCATTTTGTGTATGGCTTTGTAAATGGAAAAGCAGCAGAAGCAGCCAGAGAATACGCACGAAGATTTCCAAACAGACGACATCCAACTCGCTCAGTATTTGTAAGAGTGCATCGCCAAATAATTGAAAATGGTTTTGGAAATCTCCGAAGGGATCAAAACATAAATGTTCGTCAGCGCAGATTTACCCGTATGATTCTGCGTAAGTTTGATAGAGATCCGACCACAAGTGTTAGGAGAGTTTCTGGTACCTTAGGAATTTACCCTACCTTTTGCCTGCAAGGTTATATGCTGCGAACTTCTTGGAATTTTTAAAGGCTGAACATGCAAATATGTGGGATGATGTTATGTTAGATTTAAGAAGATTGGCCTGGTTCCAGCTTGATGGTTGTCCAGCTGATTATTCGAGAATAGTTAGAAACTGACTGGACGAAAATTATCCAGAAAGATGGATCGGCCGTGGAGGACCAGTCGCCTGGCCTCCACGCACGATACCCTGACCTAAATCCATTAGATTTCTTTCTGTGGGGATTTCTAAAAGAAAAAGTGTACCAGACTCCCGTAACCACAAGAGATATGCTAATAGACATAATCAGGAATGCATGTGATGAAATAAGGCCTTATTTAAATAATGCTATACCACGTTCGATCATTAGTAGATGGGAATTGTGTATCGAACAATTGGGTTTACATTTCGAGCAACTACTTTAGATTTTGTATTTTTGTCCTAACTATCCAATAGCATCTAATATTCAATCAACTTTTTAAAAATAATATTGGAAGATTAAACAAATTAATATTCTGTTTTTTTGTGTTTATTTGGAGTTAGGAATTATTGCTGTGTTTAAAAACACAATCTAAACGATCATCTTAATTACTTGTAATGCCCAAATCAAAAATGAAAAAAAATATTATTTTCCCATAAATAATTAAAAATGCATCGAACCCTAAAAATCGAAATATCTCAAAAACGGCTAACTATAACGAAAACTCACAAGAGAGATTTTTTATGTTGAAAAGTGCGAAGAATCTGTTTTTTTATTCAAAAAGCAAAAAATTGCACTAAGAAAAATTTTTCGGTCATTTTAATACACTACAGGTACAGTAGAGAGCGCTCTCTTGCGGCTACAGTAAAACTATGCCCATGGTTCGTTTTGTAGTACCAAAAAACCCTTGTATACCAATTTTCACTGTTATACATCAAATATCGTTCGAAATATTTAAAAAAAACTATTTTTAGAAAGTAAATTTAAACACCCTGTATTTCGGAAGCCACGCATTTTTCGACCCATGTTTAAATAGACTTTATGCATTAATTTTAAACGTTCTATCGAATCTTAAAGTTACGCAACAATAAACTGAAACACCCTGTATAAGAGATATCATTGTTACCTTTTCGCAAGGTAGGGACTATGTCTGGACGCAAGGATACTTGATGTCACATTTGAAGTCCCGAATCTACCTAACTCTTTCTTGCAGCTCTTCAGAAGCAAGGCATTACGTGCAATATGATCAGGGAGAAGATCGTTGGTTGTGTACATTGTTGCTTCAAAGAGGATACAGGGTAGAATATTCTGCTGCATCTGATGCTTACACGCACGCACCTGAGGGTTTCAACGAGTTCTTCAATCAACGTCGACGTTGGGTGAGTAAATAAGTAATAATTCAACGTTGCTCTCAAGTCTTGCAAGATAGAAGCTCATAAAGTGCATAAGCTTTTATCATTATAGTCCAGTCATTTCATGCCCACGAATATACGAGAAGTTGTTCGTTGGTTCAATGATCTGATAGTTTCATCTGGAATGTTTTGGTCGATGCGCCCCTTTTCGAATCAATTTGTTGTAATTTCCGATATTTTCCGCTTGAGCGGTAATGTTGGAAAAATGATGTCGACAAACCTTGGAAATGATATTTTTACCTATAATATAGTTTGTTATTCACAGTAAGATAAATACATTCACCAACTTTTATTAAAATAAAGCCAATTAAACTGGGTGTTCGGATTTATATGTCACTTAGTATATAACAAGTTACCAGACCATATAAAAACTGTACTTTTTAATGGGAAAGTCAGATAATTTTTAATAAACAATCCTTTATATTCTAAATGATTTTGTTTAAGTACGTGATACTTATTGGTTTTCTTCCATTGTATTTTAGTTTTAGAGCGTGAATGCACCATTGTACCAAAACTCTTACGGGGATAAAGATATTATTATTTTTTACAGGTACCATCGACCATCGCCAACATAATGGACCTTCTGATGGACTCAAAGCGGACCATCGAAGTGAACGATAATATCTCGATGCCTTACATCGGCTACCAAATCCTTTTGATGGGCGGTACGATCCTTGGACCTGGTACTATATTCCTTATGTTGGTGGGAGCGTTCGTGGCAGCCTTCCAGATTGATAATTGGACCAGCTTTTACTACAACATCTATCCCATCCTGTTCTTCATGTTGGTGTGCTTCACGTGCAAATCGAATATACAAGTAAGGATAATTTAGATGTTTTAAGTTTGTTGATCTTTTTCAATACAGTCTTAAATGATATCCCTGATACACATTTCGCTTCTCTTCTTCTCATCTCTCCTTACATTCAAAGGCAGTTCTGATAATCCAGGTAAAAAGTATTGTACAAAATGAAGATAGCTAACTCCGTTTAATTATTTCCAATTGCCCATAATGTTCGTACAAACGATAAATTTAAAGTCCCATTTAAAATGTTTTTTTGAAACTGCGTCCGAATTTTCTTACATTATGTATTATAAAAAAATTACATAAATAAAAAGATCTTTTAAATTAAAAAAATCATAGTCGTGCGAAAAAATTCTGCTCTAATTTATAATAGGGGTGGGGGTAGTTTTCACCCTTCTCGAACCCGTTCGGTTTTTTGCAAGTCAGATATTAGGACATCTAGCAAAACACGTGTTCTAAATTTAATTTAAATCGAACTATCGCTTTCAAAAATAAAGATGAGTTTTGAAAAGAAAACTTCGACACCCTCTAACGGAAAAACGAAGAATTTTTGCATAGATAGTTGCCAATAGAATGATTGTAACATTTAATAAATATAGCAAGTACTCCACGCTGTTTACGATGAATTGAACTATTCTGTTAATAACTTAAATTTTATTATAATTTCATTTTGAAGTCATTAACTATGATTTATTGTTCGACCATCTACAACTGTAATATAAACTCTGTGATTAAAAATTATTTTCTACTTTTTAGTTCGTTTAGCTATAAAAACGTGTTTTTTAACTATTATTTATTTTCCATTTAGTTTGATTTTTCAATTGTTTTTTTAATTCATACTCGTTATTGGTATTTTAATCAATAAGACTTTATAACTACAGATTCTTTGATCGCATTAAATTCCTTGTTCCGTAAAATAAATAGATTTAAATTTTGTTGTTGTTCTGACCATTTTGTTGTGAATAAGAAGCCTTTTGTGAATCAAGGTTATCAAATAATATATTTTATGAATATTATAAACATTAATTCTAGTGTATTAGACTCATTATTACCTACGCATGTATAAGGAAACAACAAGGTGAGAATGCACTACTTTGAAAAATTACACTGATCAACAGCCAAAAAATATCCTAAATAAAATCAACAAAATATTACTATTTTTAATGTGCTAAAACCGGAATGAAACTTATTTTTTCAATATTAGTTCAAGTTTTAGAGATACGGTAATTATATGTGTTCCTGCTGTGACAGTGTTAATATACTGTAATTCACAAGAATGCACCTGCTACATTTTTATATTCGGCAAGGAAAGATGATGTAATCGGCGTGATTGTGTTACGTTATACATACGTGTACATTATATTGTTTTATATTAGCCATTTTTTCCTCAGTTGGCTGACAGCGTTCATGCAAGATGTCTCGAAAGTGTGTAAACAATCCAGATCAGTTTTGTTACGTGTGTGGTGATGTGACTTTTGCGTCTCAGAGACGGTCTATTACTCCACTAATAACAAAGGCATATCAGCTTTATTTCGGTTGTAAACTAGGTGATCAAGACAAACAGTGGGCACCCCACATCTGATGTAATACATGTGCTTCAAGTCTGAGGAGCTAGTTAAATGGCAAAAAACGGTCCATGCGCTTTGCTGTCCCAATGGTTTGGAGAGAGCCTACAAATGATATTAATGATTGTTGCTTTTGCATGGTACCTTGTGTTGGACAAGCCACAGGTATGTCCAAGAAAAAAAATCGGTTATTAACTACCCAAACATACCATCTGCGATGAGACCTGTGCCTCACAGTGACGAAAATCCTATTCCAAAACCCCCAGAATCCTACACTTGCGAATCAGAAAACGAATCAGATCATGGCGATCGAGTGATTCGTCAGGAAGAAGATATGCAATCAACGTCAAGAGATCCTGATTTTGTACCGACCACGTCATGCCACCAACCGCACAAAATAACACATTCAGAATTAAATGATCTTGTAAGAGATTTAGAACTTCCAAAATGTAAGGCAGAGTTACTTGGATCAAGACTGCAGCAGTTGAACTTGTTAGAAGACGATGTTTCGGTATGTGCTTTTCGTAAACGCCACAAAGACTTAGAACCATTTTTCAATATGGAGAATAACTTGGTTTTCTGCAGTAACATTAACGTCTTACTGGCGGCTTTAAATATAAACTATAACCCAGAAGGATGGAGATTGTTTATGGACAGTTCAACATTGAGATTAAAGGCAGTGTTATTGCATATTGGAAATATTTTCCCATCTCTTCCTGTAGGGTATGCAGTTCACATGAAAGAATCATATGACAATATGAAGTACCTATTGACATGCATAAAATACGATGAGCACCAATGGCATACTTGTGGCGATTTGAAAGTTGTTGCACTTTTACTTGGGCTGCAGCTAGGCTACACAAAGTTTTGCTGTTTTTTGTGTGAATGGGACAGTCGGGCAAAGGCACTTCATTACAATAGACAAAACTGGCCTGGTCGTCAATGCCTAGAGCCAGGTCAAAAAAATGTACAGCATATGCCATTAGTAGATTCGAAAAAAATTTTATTACCACCACTGCATATCAAGTTGGGCCTAATGAAAAACTTTGTCAAGGCATTAGATAGAGATGGGTCAGCTTTTCAATACCTGCTTCAGAAATTTCCAAGGCTAAGTGAGGCAAAGGTTAAAGAAGGTATTTTTGTTGGGCCACAGATTCGAAATATTTTGAAAGATACACAGTTTGAAAACACTTTAACAGGTATTGAAAAAACTGCTTGGAATGATTTCCGTCTGGTGGTCACTAATTTCTTGGGAAATAGAAAAGCTGACAACTATAAAACCCTTGTCAAAAATATGCTGTCATCGTATCAAAAGATGGGCTGTAATATGTCTCTCAAGATACATTTCCTACACTCACACCTGGACTTTTTTCCTGACAATTGCGGAGCCGTAAGTGATGAGCACGGCGAACGTTTTCATCGGGATATTTCAACAATGGAAAAAAGGTACCAGGGAAAGTGGAATCCTTCCATGCTTGCAGACTACTGTTGAACTCTTGGTAGAGATGCCCCAGAAACAATCCATAAAAGAACAGCAAAAAGACAGCGCATATAGTGATTCTTATAAGTATATGAATCTTGTTACTTTTTTTAATATATCCTCAAAAATAAAAAGTTTTTTTTCTAAACCGCAACTAATTTTTTTATTTCATTGTCATTTTTGGATTCAGCGCACCAAAATTAACAAAGAAGTGCACTTTTCCCGCAAGATACAATTAAAAAACTAAAATTTGTTGTCCAGTGAATTGGCACGCCTTAACACTGCCTAAACGCTGCCTATCCTAAAAGATTCTCTTCTTCCCCTTTGCTCTCGTTCTTCCTTCTCTCCGTTCCTTCCCCTTTCTTCCTTAAAATTGTCTGGTTTCTGGGTTACTAGACCTGACAGACTTACAAACTGACACTGTGACTCAAGAGCTATGACTTGACGATGACTTGACATTAGGTACCCTAATTATATTATGTTTTGTAAAAGAGTGAAAGAGCAGGCCAAGACATGCTTTTTATCAATCGACTATCATTGTAAATGTACTCAGTGAATAGAGCACCTTGTGAAATTTTGTATACTTTTGGACAAAACCAAAAGGAACTCGTAATTCAATTTTGAAGTGAAAACATTAACGGTGTCAGGATATTTCGTTAATAATGTATAGGAGCCACCTTGATGTCGTATACATTTGCCTTCTTGAGCTACTTGACGTTGTTGGAGTAGTCTGCTGTAGCTCTAGCAATATGGGGACGGCCATTGTCTTGTTGGATAACAGCGATATCAAGCTTTTGGAAAAGTGATTGAAGATGAGGTTCTAGCATTTACTGGACATAACAATATGCAGTGATACCTTTTCTAATTTTTTTTTATACTCCAACTACCATGAAGGCCTAAGGCCTAAACACCCATTGGTTGGAAAAAAAACCTTTTTTATAAGAAAACTTACCTTGCAAGTGCTAAATCCCAGTTTGTGGGCCTCTGTATGAGTTGTGGACCTCGAAATTCTCCTTCCAACAGCGTCACTCCACAGAGCACTTAATTGTAAATAATTGGCACGCCTGTTTTGATTATTCTTCTTAATGCTCTTCGGTCGGCATTTGTGATATTACTTTTTTTCACATATCGTGGCTTAGTATTAACTGAACCAGTTACGTTATATCTTCTAACAGTATTTCTCACACTGTACCGCGATAAGTCTAACAAAGTTGCAATTTCTGAGTTTGATTTCCCAGAATTAAAAAATTTAATTATCAGTAACCGAATTTTCTCACTAATAACCTTTCCTCTACCCATTTTGAAAAGCTTAACTACCCAAAACTATTTTAAACGTATTCTGACAGCTGTGATTAATAAAAACAATTGTCATGGCTTTTATTTTTCACAGCCACCTATGCGTTATAGACTTATTTTGCATTGAAATGAAAATAGGTTGATATGCTGTAATTGCAACATGTGTCATTTTTATGTATCAAATTTGATTAGGGAGTGATAAAGTTGGTGTTTTCTACTATATATTATCAAAATATTCATTGTTAATATTTTAAACCTGTAACACAGTGCTACATTTTTATTATTTGTGTTTGACAAGAAAAAACTAAGATTTCAATAGTTGGGCTCGTACACATATAGAAACACACTGACCAAGCTCATAAAAGCCTGTTAAAAAACGATAATGGCTGTCCGTCATACTTTTCTTTTGCTAATAGTTGACTAAAATGTCAAGCAACAGTGAACATCAGGTGAAACCGACGACGCTATATACTCATAAAAAGCCACTGAGAAAACAATAGACAATAAACAAATAATCAGATAAACCATGAATTGTGTCTGACCAGAGCCAATCGACCACAATTAACTGAAGAATTTCGCGTTCACCTTACTGAAAGCGAATCTGATACCGGTTCTGATGGTATATTCGCATCCAGCTTCTCTAAATAGACATTTGCGGAATAAAAATTATTTTT